TAGGTGTGTTCCAAGGAGGATATTGCAAATAAACCGCAAATATTCTTCCACTTGGTTGCATTTTGATAGATGGATTGATCATCTTATTATGTAAAGTATTCGCACTTCACGGGAGGTTGGAACGCATCTGCCACTAAAAGGGGTCCAGAGAGTCTGCAATTTTTTTTTACAAAATTACCCATCTTTTGAACCGACGAGGATACTTTCACAAAATGTCACGCCACACCTACTGCTCATCAAACTTTGAATAAGCACTCACTTCTAAGTGTAATTCCGTCACTCTTTGTAAAGTGATGTAGTCGTTGTATCAAGGCTTATCATATTTAGTAGCCCAACGTGCACTGAATTCGAATGACAATAGAACTAGGTAGGTGGACCCAGAACCTGCACGGTAACAGAGAAATAACAGAATTCGGAGATTAACTCCGTTATGCGATTAGAAGCTCCGTCGCATCTTTCCGGCGGCGAAGGCACTTCCCCAAACTGGTCAGTGGAGAAGGAAATGTGTTTTGCGCGATTTTGTTCGAAAACCGCGTCGTAAGACAAAGAATAGGACTTGGGTTCAGCGGCGCACCGCCTCTAAGCCGCCGAAACAAGGGAGCACAGTTATGAATGTTGTGCCTCATCCATGGACGTACGACCAAAGAGCACCACAATTGTTTATTGTTAGAGGACACGACTGGAGCATTTAAGACAAAGAATAGGACTTGGGTTCAGTGGCGCACCGCCTCTAAGCCGCCGCAACAAGGGAGCACAGCTATGAATGTTGTGCCTCATCCATGGAGATACGATCAAACAGCACGATAACTGTTTATTGTTAGAGGACACGACTGGAGCATGCGAACTACACGGCCTGGTAGATGTGCACTGATTTCCGCCGCTGACTAAGATCCGTCGAGCAGTTTACAGATAACTCGGATGTAACTGTTTGATCGTAGCCGTCAAGTGGCAGGATTGTGGTGAGCCCGATTGTGCAGGTCGATGATGTAGACAATCGATAATTAATTGCAACCCAGTCGACCAATTTAGGTAGATAGAAGCAACGAAGACAAGTTGCAGTCCTCCTCTACTCAGGACTGACGCAAATGAATTAATGACTGACTCCTAAATACATCAGTATCTTCACTCTACTAATTAGCTGAAGTGGTCAGTGAGTTGGTAATTAAGCAGTTGATGTGAATCAGCCCAGTAGATTCCTGATGCCTTTTGGGATATGTGGCATGACGTCGGCCAGTTAAATAAGTCGTGCTTGTTACTTAAATCAGGCAGGCGAAATTCTAGGGAGTGGTACACCGAGTTTTGTTACCCTAACAATCACCCACGATCACTCGCAAACGATACGGTCGGGTCACAACAATTCTCTGGAACAAAGCCGTTGAAACAGGTTTTTTTAAACTCGTTTAACGAAGTAGTGCGTGCCGGCGCATAAACAGGATGACGTGACACCGCTACACCTTTGGTTGACGTCACCAGGTTAAAGGGCGTATGCATAGGCTACACTCGGGGCTGAGGTTTTAGAAGGCAAGAGCGACCATCACTTTGAGTGCGGCTAACGGCGCCCGGTAACTCCAAGAGACAAGGTATCTGTCATTTCGAAACGACCGTTCATTTTGGCCGGCCCAATAAAAAGTATTGGCGCGCCTGTACAGATTAAATGAGACGATCCCGTAGATCATCAAAAAGGAAATCGAAAGAGAAGTACGTCAACAAACAGCAGCTCCTTCGGCCATAATTTTAGATGCAGTTCAATTCACCACTGCAAAAATTTCTATTTGAAAACAAGAGCTTCATAGCAAGAAGGACACCGTAGAACCTTGTTTCGGTATCTACACCGTTTTCTGATTGAAACGAAACTACTGAACCAGACAGCACTGAATATTTCTGGATGATCAGCTGTCAGAAAGCATTAAGAATCGCTTTACCGCACACAGTGACTGTTTGAGTGAGGTCTGCGTTTTTTTAAGAAAAGGCTGTTGGCTCTTTGGACAGCTCAATGAAAGTCTAAATATGGTCCTGCTATGCGCAGTCGATGGATTCGGTAATACAATCACCTCCGTTAAACAGCAGAAGTGAAGTTTTAATCAAGCACACAATTTTCGGTGGAATAACATTTGATGAGAATACGAAGAAGCGTCATTGTGTTGTTCTGTATAGATACATTCACTCGTTTGCATACCAATTTTTCACGAGAGACTCACCTGAAACCCAGCTTAATCCCTCGTCTGTAATGTTCGTCGAACTTGTTCAAGCTGACACAACGATTGGGACAAGCAAATACACACATCTCAAATTATCTTGTGTTCTGTACAAAACTCTTGCCTCCAGGACACGCTTTTGGTGTCCAGTCGCTACACGAATCGTAGAATGCACGAGGATTGAAAAGCGAAAATTCGTGGTTCTGCATTCCAACCAAGCGAGCTTCTCGGGTTGATCCAAAAGTCAAAGTAAAAGGCGTAGAATAAAACGTGTTTTGGGGGATACTGAAAAAATCCCCAATCCTGGATATCTTTGTGCGTTCGTCTAGTCTTTATATTAGGCAGGGAGTTTTATCATAATTCAGAGAAACCACTCTATGTGCATTGGATTCTAGAAGTAAAACGAACTCCGTAGTCAAAGGCGGCACACATGGCTTGCTTTTTCTCCTTAAAAAATCAGTGCGTACAAAACTCTAAGCAATGCAGCCAGGGATTTGTTAAGTTCCCGAACAGTAGGTGAGTCAAACATCAACCATTATAAAATACATGGTCTGTGGTTTACCCATGATGAGACGTGTTCTCAGGAATGACTTACCTCTTTCGCCAAACTATCCGTTCCTTCTGTAGGCTCATGCACCTTCTCTTTCAAATGATCAATCGCCTGCAGTCCTTCGTCTAACGTATTTGGTTGTTCAACGTTCTGTTCCCTCTTTGTCCGGTTTGCTAAAACATTCTGGAACAGCTGATCGATTTGGGCGTACGTCTGGCGGATAGCCACATCCGCTTCTGCCTTGTTGCAGTCAGTTGAAGTTTGGTCAGCAACAGTTTCGTGTACGACGGTAACACTTTTGTCGTAAAACTCTGCTAACTGTGGCCAAGCATCCTGAAATTCTTCGAGACGATTATGAAGGCCATCTAGTGGTGGGAGGGTAGAATTTGCTCTTTTTATGAGTGGCTCTTGTGTAGACTGATCTTCATTAGTTTCAGATTGTTGTACTTCTTGTTCTGGCTGTTCAGAGGATAATCGAACCGCACGACGAAATATTTCATCATCAGGTGTATCCAATAGAATGACCAGGTCAAGACCACACTCTTCCTTACTGGTCAGCTTATTGCTATCCACCGTTGGAGAATTTTCTGGGAAATTTGCAACAGTCAGGTGGAGTGTTAGAAGTTCAGCTTGTTTGATGTTTGTCGGGAACCCGTCGAGGATAAAGCTTGTACCGTCAGGTAGAGATCTGGAGTGGCAGAGAAGCAATGGAACCTTCCAGGGATATGTAATAGAGTTTAGATATCACTTTTTTATATGTATTTCGATCATCACATTACTATGCTAGATTGAGCAAACTCATTTCTGAAATTTTATGCCCATAAGTTTGTCAGCCATCACCTTTCGATCATTTTGAACCATCCAGTACAACTAACCTGATGAGGTTAAGAATATTGAGTAACCTTTACCAGAAGAAAATATTCTGTTCAGACTTAATAGACTACTTATGAGGTTGCTGAAAACTCTGACAGTCCACAACCGTTTCGTCCCTTCTTAGGCTCATCAGGTAGGCACAGACTCGGATTCCTCGTGCACCTTATGTTCTGCTTGACTCAACAGAAACTCTCGTTTGTGATGTTTTTAGGCAATTGAACGTGCTGCACAAAGGCAGCCTTATGGAATCTTCAAGCTAGATCCGACTTGAAAGCAGCATGACTGTTAGGGAAGCATTTCTTTGCCTGTCGTTTTACTGCAGCTTAGACCTGAATCAGGACCGCGATTTTGACAATATTGGTGGCGCAAATATGCTGAGGCACATCACACATGACGTATTCACGGTGTAGGGCTCTGACAAGTAACCAGGTGACAATGTAGGCAATACTGTTACACGTCAAAACCAAAGCGGCATGCAAACGAATGTATATCGCCAAAATATTATGGACGTTTTTGCGATGATGGTCCTTTGGTACGCACTTTGCACCCACAAAGTGCCTGGTCATGCTCGTGGACGTGCAGTCACTGAACACGCCACTTACAATCCAGGGAGAGGTACTGGAAGTTGTGGAACATTTTACGTATCTTAGATGATGTATTAGCTCTGATTGTAGTGTGACAGAGGAGGTGAATGCACGAATCTGCAAGGCTCGGGCCGCGCTTGCTAACTTGAGANAGATCACGAAACGCTTGGGTGCTGTCGGTGCTACTCGCCTTCCAGGATAGGGACCGCGTGATCCTCACTGTGCCTGGTTGGAGACACTACAAGATATGGCTGCCAAGCGATGTTAGTGGCATCATGGTTGACAATTTCTATCCAGATCGTCCGAGTGAATATCTGGAGGTGTAGGCACCTCGGAATGATTGTGATAAGCTAGCACGAAGTCCTTTCTCTGTCCACTGTTATTCTTTCCTTTACGATGAGGCTTTCAAATAAGTCACGGTTGTACGGCAGTGAGGCATCAGTGTTGAACACTGTCATGCTGTTGATAATGATGACAATTGAATCGGTTTTGGAAGCTCTCAATTTCTGTGTAGGTAACTATAGTTGACAGCTGGAGCAAGAAAACTCAACAAAACCTAGAAGACAGTTCCCGGTTACTGAGGAATGACTACATTGACAATAGTCCTCATTGGTAATCTGGGTTTGCCATTGTACAGTCGCATTAAAGACGACCTTTGTCAGTAGGAAAATTATCCTACGATGTTGGCGCCATCCTTTTGGTTTATGTCGATCCAGTCAATAATACAGCATAGCTGCAAAATGACTGAAGCGACCGGGGACAAAGGTAGAGTTGGGGTACTTGAGCAAAATAAGTAATAAATTACATAGTATCCATGCAATTTTCTTCCTCTTGTTCGTAATCGAATCTGAATGAGTAACCACATTTGCCCATAGAGTGAAAACGACCGAAATAAATGCAGCCCTATTTCAACGCACCAGTGTCTTCCAGCTCCGAAAGGTTGTTGAGCATCTCAGTTATTTACTCAGAAGTAGGTGGAACGTTCAGAATGCCCCACAAAAATGTTTCAAAAACGGACAAAAAATTAAACACCGAATGCTTTATTACAGAAAACAGTGAAAACCGAAATACTACAAGGATGCGGTATATTCCCATTACCAAACAGAAAAGTTGCCCGTTCGACTGAAAGCATGTTATTATCGTTTTTCTAACATTTTTATCAGGATCCTCTCGGCACTCCGTTCCAGGTCGTTATTCAGAATAAGAAATACGGACAAGAATAAACGTCAATTTTAAGAGGAACATGCACAATTTACCGATATCCTCCTCTATTTGGAGTGTTGGTGTTGAAATCTTTCAGCGGTATACAAAAACTATGCGCTACGAGGATCGTTTCAACTTCCAGTGGTATTCCTTGCTTTACTGAATTGCTGAACCGGGCTGTTACGTTGCAAACAATTCATCATTGGTCGAGGAGATATCACCAGCGCACCATATGAACATACCTTATATGTTCAAACACAGACTGCGCAAGTAGTTCATCGGAAAGTTCTCGTCCCACTTGTAGTTCTTCGTTTATTCGCTTGCCAACCTCAAACTTCAAGTTGAAAAAGCGGAAATCAGAATAGGTGAATGCGAAATAAAGATATTAGGTGGGTTACGCAATCTGGCTGTTTGTTAAACAGGGATATACTAAATTTGAACAATGTCACAAGGTCGCTTGGGGCTTCCTACTTTCAAAATTGTTATAATGCCTGAACAACTTGCTGGAAGTTCCATCATTGGATTTATATGAAGCCGACACAGTTTTTTTGTATTCCTTCTCTGAGTGTACAGACAGAAACTAAGTAAGGCATATACCCAACTGCTTTCGAATTTAACCAGCTGTATAACATAACTTTTATGAATTGTTACATGCGACGGCCATGTGCTCCGTGTGCCAGTCGACCGACTTCCTCGAAGGTTTTTTTCGCACAACAACGCGAGGGATGGAAACGGACCAGAGGGCGTAAAACAATGACTTGGCAGCGAAGTGTGAAATCAATTACTAGCAAACTCAGCTGCGCTGGTCTTTGACGTCTCTCTGAACGAGGACCCCGAGAAGAGCCATATCAATGGTTACAGACATTGTCAGACATGGCCCAGTCGAGCCCCCACTGGTGCCTTTGCATTCAATGCAAAGCTCCCTTCCCACCCCCACTTAAAAGTCCACTGACCCAATTTAGCAACTTTCGCCCCCTAATGCCAACTACCTACCTCACCTCGACACATCATCGGCGGACGAAATTGTGGCAGCTACAACGATTTTACCACAAGCATGCAGTTCCTACAGCTGATAATCATGATGATGATGAGAGTCTCCAGTGGTATATACGTGCACGATTTTATACTGATATACTTGGCTGGACTACACGCAATATGAATCACCCACCATCCACATCATCGTCATCATAATCATAATCATAATCATAATCATAATCATAATCATCATCAACATCATCATCATAATCATCATCATCAACATCATCATCATCATCATCATCATCATCATCGTCATCACCAGCATCCTCGTCAGAATCGCAATCATTACCAGTCTTACCTAGGTAATGGTCATGATTAGTTGAAAAACTGATAAATCCACAACTCATCTCTGTAGCCTTTTGTGAGGCGCATTATTGATTGAGTTAAAGGCATCAAGGAGGATAAGCAAGTGTTCACTGAATCCCCTGTAACCTTTTTATACTTTCTGACTATTCAGAGAAAGGAGCCGAGGATGTAAATAATTTTGTGCAGTTGTTATGTGACTTTGGATAGTCTGCCAAACACGTTCAAAATTCACACAATTCCCGCATCTAGTTCTGCTGACGTACCTGTTTACACACGTCTTGAGAGGTGTCATCAGGTTCACACTGCTCTTCATTTTCGTGAAATAATTCAAGGAGATTCTGGACAAGGTCGTGGACATTGATCACTTCTGCATTGTACGCTGGATAACAAAACATTTGTGGCACACAAATAGACGTGTATGGGTTCCAAAATGGAGCATATTTCGGATAGACACTAAAAGATCTGTCCAAAAATTACTGCCTAGCGCACTGTTACACAAGCATAAGTTCGAGGTAGTTTAGGTGGATGCCACCCTCGAGCGCCACCACTTCCAATAACATGGTTCAAACTTCGGTCACACCAGAAAACATTCGTACATGTCACGTAATCAATCAAAATGGGACTTAGGCGTTCCGAGCGGAACTTGGCTCGGATATTGCAAGAAAGATTGAGCGTCATGTGGTGTAGGATATGGGAGTGCTTAAAGTCAGAACACAGCGTACTGGAATAAAGTGTAATACTCCGACGTTTTGGTTGCCATTGTCAGACTTTTTTCAAGGATTCCTACAGTCGCTTGTATACGAGTCAAGTGCAGCGTCATTTGGGCAGTCATTGCAAACCGCGTGTGTGGTTGGATGTTTGTCCTGTGTGACTGTGCGTGTACCTCCGTTTGTTGTTATGCTGGTTTTGATGTGTCGTCTTTATGATTCCTTCTTTGCATCTAGCTACTATGCCTTGCTAGTGATTCCAGTCCCGATGGGCCTAAGCCTATCGCAATCACTACGGCTGTTGCAGTTCGGCTTTTTGTCGTGTCTACTGACAGCCTTGAGCTGATAGAATCAATCCAGAAGTTGCGAGGTGGTTGCGAGACGGGTGCGAGATCCGGCTCCATGTTTTGCGAAAACAGTCTTGTGAACTTTAAGTCTGCCTGGTTCATTCGGCATGCACCATTCGACCAAGGCGCTCAACAGCCGTTCGGACCGTCGTACGTCATCTACTCAGATTTTGCCATCCGCCTACTGTCTAGCTTTTTCCTCTTCTAATTTACTAATCTACTTTGTTGCCCTGATTGTTGTATGTTTCTGTGGACCTGGTGACACAGTCCAAAAAAATTAATTTATGTTCCTAATGCCCACTGAAAAGCATCTTGTGTCACTTTTGAGTAAGGTTTCATCAACGCACACCCACCGGTAAAGAGCAGAATAGGCTTTTGGATCTACACAAAAGTATTGCATTGTAAAGTGCTAGAAAAGTGGATGAAATCATCCCGGGCATTTTCATTCGTGCAGTTAGTTCGACGAGACTTCAAACTGAGCCCGATGCAACTTTACGAAACAAGTTCAGTGGGTCTATTGTCAAGAAAATATGCCGCATATGTGATGTTGTTTGTCAGTCAGTTGTATGGAACATAAGTTTTCGTCTAAACGTTTATTTGGAAAGTTCTTAATGATATTCATTACGAACTAGGCGAATCGCCTTACCCATAGGAGCCTTGCCTCACGCGCATTTGAACGGGTTGTCGATCGCCTGTTTTGCGGTAACTTTAAGGTGGTGGGAGCTCGGGGTTAAGCAACATACTACTTGCCAGAGGTTCTAAAATGTTCGAATGTTGGTGGTGCTGCACACTTTCTTACATGGATCTGCCTGACCCCCATCTGCATGGTTGGATACGCTGCACTAAATATCCTTAGGACACCAGCTCCCCTGTCATTTGTTTGCGTGGTGTAATTGTCTTGGATATTGGTGGTTGACTGGAGTTGGACATTTCCATCCGCACGGTTTTGTCATTTTTTTTGCGCTGCATGCCTTTTCGAAACGACTCTCCGGCTATGCACCGTACTTCCATACACAGGGAATTCGAGCATTTGTGTCTGGTTGGGTTGTCTTGGTTGGGGAAATCATTCTACTCTACACTTAATTCTTGACCGCTTCCCCAACTGTCAAGAGGCACAACAATGAGTTGGATTAGTGGTGCTTCAGCTCGCACTTAGATTATATAGGGTCTTTCCCTCTATTTTAAACACTGTTCAGACATAGGGCACCAGGAGTGTTTTGTTTTGAATGCTATACTGATTTTTAATTTCCTATGGAGAACCAAGTCACCTACGCAGTGTAGATTGCGAGCACGGTTAGGACGAATTTTTGCCTGGTATGAACCTTTGTAGCTATACGTTTACGTTACAAACCATCGGGTTTGTAACGGTTTGGCCGGTCACGACAAAATTTGTGTGAAAAGACCAGACATTGTGATTATGAAGATGCCGTGGTTTGCTCAGCGTGTACAGTCATTGGAAGGCATTACTGTGGCCTATCGATCGGAATGAAATGAGCAGTTCTTATCGTCTTTTTTCCTCAATACCTGTCACTGCTATTATTGTGAGATTTCATACCGCTTTTATAATCCAGGTCAGTGATGATTCATAGCGGTACTTGTTCAAAGTGGAGTTGTTTCTCTCCAGGGAGCTGAGATAAGCTAAAATTGGTCATTTTCGTTGGTTGTTTGCTGTATATGAATGAGATATAATGTTTTTTGTAATGTACTACCCATAAGGTTGCTGAAAACTCCCAGACAGCTCACTGTTTCTAGAACCTGCTACCTGTTTTATATTGACGTTCTGATTCATTCGATACCTGATAAATGTGCTGAGTAGTTGTGCGAAAGTCTCCTTGGAGCTTAGCAAACGGTGTTGGATAGCTGAGTACGGTAGAAAATGAAAACAGACTGTGCGGCAACTATGCTTGTAATCTTAAGAAGTTCAGAGTGACCATAGTAACGTTGCGTTTGAACCCAGCTTGGTTGTTTGGTGCACATGAATGAGATATGTTGTCCGGTTGTGATTTTTGCTGAAGAGAGAGAAGCGTGTTATGAGCAGTGGTTGCTTGCTGCGCTTGGAAGCGAACAGACGAAAGATACATAATGGTGTTTCAGCCATGAGTCTTTGATTTCACTTCCCAAGTTGCCAACTACTGCGACTGTTTGAGAACGGGATGTAAATCGTTTCGAAACATGCCTTTTTTCACCACAGTTCAAAGCATAAAACGCACCGTTGGGTATTTAGACTCACATTCCGCGAGCATCTGCGAAAACGTTGACTTTCCTGATAGCGGCTTGCCCAAGATCGCCGCTCGAATGGGAATTTCCGGTAGATCTGGCTTAGCTGCTGCTTTCTGATTAGTACAGAGCATAGAAAGGGAATTGGTCAGTTTCAACCGTAAAGTAACAGAGGATTAATAACCTTAGCTGCAGCGTATGAAACTATTTCAAGGAAATAGAAAAGGATACTTGTTGGGGCGGACTGGTGTCTGAAGGTGTAAGGTCAGCAGCACTGAAGCTCTAGTGGTGAGGCTTCAAATGTGGCCACTAAAAGCGAAGACAGAAAGTCCATGCGCCTGGAAAGCAAACTAGCAACTAATGCCACCGGTGAAAGTTAAACTCTTGATTTCCTGTTTAACGGAAGCATATTCTCATTGGGTCAGTCGGATTCGTAAGGCGTTTAACTGGAAGCAATTAAAACTTTCATGATCACCTCTGGATAATTAAATGCCTTGTATTGCAGTGTCCTGAACAGTGTTCTCGTAGTCCTTTATACATGAAACATACGAAAAGCAGGCGTTCAAGATAACAAGTAACCGCTTGCTTCCCTCTTCACCAAGTGGGTCATGGTAAATTCACTTGCTTCTTCTGATTTTTGCCTCACCTACTTGATGTGCTGATTGAAGAGTAGGCTGATAAATTAGAGCGCACCTATGTGTCTGTTGTAGTTACTGCTTCCTTAGATTTGCGGGTCCGGTCAGTGAAAGTGATGTTAGTGGTCACTTGTTTAGCTAAATTTGGCGACACAAAGCGAGAATCTTTAGTTTTTTTCATTGTAGTTTAAAGGTAGTTGTTTGGCTACCGATATCAGATAGCAATTGTATCAAGACACGCCTGCAGTACCCAACTAAAGCAACCAAAAAAGTACTGTTTGGGGATTTGTCCGGGTCTCACGGAAATCATCACTTTCCTTGCAGTTTGGTACCCAACAGCTACGTGGAAGAGGATGAACCAGAATACGTCGTTTGAGCGAAAACAAAAGGTGATAGATTGAAAACGGTTGTTCCCCCTGAGTTGACACAGGCATAACAATACGATCAATCATCCGAGCATACCGGCAATCATCCCTGTACAAACACACTTCATAAATACAAAAACGAGGTATTAAGCACATGCAAAATTAACTTATTCACGTGACATAATGACTGGGTATGGGAAATAAGTAAAAACATTGCAGTACACTCCTAGCTGAACCGAGTTTTCTCGCCTTAGGCCAAGGCTTTATTTGTGGCAGACAATGGGAATTCCGGTGACAGATCAAGTTCAACCCTCTATTGACTGGATGCCTGCGCTCAGGTGTGAAAGTAACAACCTTCGTGGGATCCTAATTCGCCAGATATCAAATACCTCTTGTACACTGGCGTTTCGCATCGTGATAATGGCGAGTAAATGAACTTGCGGTCTACCAGAAGGAAATTTACAGGGAACTACTCATCACGAGCATTGATTCTAGTATGCAATTTTCCGGGTTTGTTGGTGGTACGAAAAAGCATCCTTTGAGTATCCCAACCTTCTTGGAAACCATTATCAATGTGCACCTGATTCTGCTTTGGAGCAAATCGAGCTCTTCATCTCCAGGGTACTATTTACAGAGTATATCATTCGGCCATGAGCGACTGATTAGGGGCATGACGAAATCACCTTAAACGGGATATAGCGCTACTCATCCTTCAATCATACAATTCGCAACTTCGGTCACGTGTTGACTGGCACCTTGGATGACGACTTTTCCGATGAAAGACTCAAACAAGGTCCAGTTCTTAGATTACTTACAGTTTAACAATAGAGGTCAGGGGTCACATAGTGTTGGAGCAAGGATGTGAACAACAAGCGACTGAACTCTGTTTCATGCACCGGATGAAGTCCAATCCGGACGAAATATGCAGCCAATTCCCTTTCCAGCCTCACCTTTATAGTTTTATTTCCCTTGTATGAGAAACAACGAAACAACCCTATGAATCGATGAGCAGCTTGCATTCGCAATACATTCCTTGGAAGCAAGTTCTGATCAGACGAAGGGCTTATAGTTCTGTACAGAAAGAACTGGTACGGTCAACTCTATTAGGTACACTTACCGGAGGAGGATAGACAAGTTGCTTGAGTCGGTTGATGACCCAGTCGAAAACGGGATTTGAATCTGTGGTCATGGACTCAAAATTCAACACGGGCATGCCGTTTGAGTTGGCGTTGACATTGTCCGTCCGCCAGTCAATACTTTGAGAAACTGTCAGCTGCGTGGCTGCATCAGGAAGAGGTTGAGTCTCCATCCTTCCCACCTGAGTAATACTCCACTCGCCACGAAGGTTCTGAATGTAAATAACATGATCTTCATCAAAATAGTTCGATTTGATGGTGAGAATACTGGACACAAAAAACAAGTGGTCCTCCTAAAGTCTCTTGTGATGGCTTATCCCTCGTGTGCTGAGCAAAACTTTTCTCAGTTGTCTCCTTAGACCAATGAAGAATTCCAAACGCTTGCTTGAGCTAAGTACTGGACCTACAGACTGAATGAAATCTGGAAAACTGTATGGGACGATTACCCGGAATCCATAGACAACCCATCAGGTGGTATAGACGTCGGAAACTGGAATACTTAGTCGTTGACTTAAAAAGCAATTTTGCTGAATGTTTACTTTTAAGCTCTTTTTCATGATGAACTACTGAAGCTGAAGGTTTCTGGATTTTCTTGTGGCAAGTAGCATACCGATGTTCTTCCACGTGATGCTCAGCACATTATAAATATAAGCGTGAGTATAAGCAATTCCATCTAGTCCCAATTTCTAGCACGTTCATCATGCGTATCAGCCTAAGAAGCGTATAAGCTCTGACAAATAACAGAGTGTTCTTACCAGGTATTCGAGCAGACTCATTTCATCGAGCTCCTCTTCGGCATGATCCAAGTCTACAAGTGTGCCTTGATCTTCTTCAATATCGGCAACCTGTTGAAACGGCTTGCCAGTGATAAACTGAGCTTTCCACTGACTAAACAACTTCGATGGGATAAGGCTGTTAGTGGAAGCGAAATGAGCATGGATGAAATTACATTTTCACAAGTAATAGAAAAGTACATCTCACATGTTTCTCAAACCTACGCTTAAAATGAATAGAATGCCGCTTTTTCCGTATTCAAAACTTAGGATTTCTTCAACTTTTCAGGGTAGTTCGAATTATTTTCTTGAGAAACTTGTGAACTTCTCTCCACATCACCCTAGCTTAGGTAGTTTCGCTTCTATTTTTTCGAAAGCATTCTGATTTGTCCACACTGACGATATGCTGTGATGAAGGTATTTGCAGTTCTTCCTTCTTTTTAGTGTGGACAAATCTGGGTGATAACGTCGGGACAGGAGAGGAACCGTTCTACTAAAGTTGATCTGTATGCTGACGTCGATGTTTAAGAGCATGAATTTTCGGCTCCATAAAATTTGGCGTATCAACTGATAGGTGCATGCACATTCTTATGGTAAATGGATCCGTGAACGAAGCTATCATAAGAAGAATGTCACCGGGGCAACAGTTCTGCTCATTGTGAACTTCAGAACAGCACAGAATGTAAGTTATACCGCTTTGACGATTTTCGTAGACCGAACAAGTATCCACCTACATTCGTAATATACTAAAATACTGTGTTATTGACGATTATCTGAACTGTACCCATATCGATGATTTGTTTAGGATGAAGGGCTGGTTAATAAAATCAAACTTATCTTCAAAATTGAGAAACAAAAACAGAAACTGCCATGGTATAATGTGATGCTTTGGAAATTTGATAGAGTGTGGGAATCTGATCCACAGGACGCTTGCTGAATGGAATATTGATTATTTTTCTCAGGTCACTCCTTCATCTGACATTTTGAGGCGAAGGCAGAAGCATCAATCTTTTCGAAGAGAGGAAATTGCAAAATAGTTCGGTTTGGGTCTCTCCAGGTGTTCCCAGTTCTGTAATGACAGTGTTTACCAATCAAGCCGCGTTAGCTTTCCATTCAAGTTGACTGCAAAGGTTTCTTTCCCAGTTAGACCCTGAGCTAAAAGGCAAGGCTGTAGTGAGTAGAGCTTGAACGGTTAACCCCTCCTGAGTGGAACCTAATCCTGCTATGAATTTTCTTCGCACCCCCCCCCCGTCAGATATCAAACGGATGTTCCCGTAGTTCACTGAAACATTTGTGGAGATATTTAGAGCAAATCTTGTATTTTGCTTGGAGATACGGGTTAAGAGTTACTGGTTCGAGCTTGGACATATCAAATGTCTGCACCTTTTAGTCTGCTGTGTGGTGCTTTCAACTTGCCAATTTATGATTTTGTGTTCACACGCTGGATGTTTCTACCGTACTATGAACTTGCGGTTGATGCGGTTGAATAGAATTTCTGGCTTCAGAGTACACGTTTGACGCAGGTAGTACAGTGCATTCCAAAATGACTTTGAGTGACTTACCATCCAGTGTATGCGCGATATCGAACAACCTGTTCCACAAACTGCAAGATCAGTTCAACAACTCCTTTGGATACAAAATCGTAATGTCGCGTGTAGGCTTCTTGGCGTCGCTTGGCTTTTCGATTGGCCCACACTTCTTGTAGAACTGCAAAGATACCTGCCTCTTCCTCTTTCTTTTTCCTCAGCCGTTCCTATGTGACAGACATGGGGAATTTAAGTGGGGCTGGTGGTCATAACTCATTTGACGAGCACCATTTAATGCTATTCTGTGTAATAATTAAAAAGATGGAAAGGATCAGTGTATGTTTCATGAACCCCACCGGTTGCTCCTAGGTGATACGGTGTACCTCTGCTGATGGCAAGCAAATTACTGAAGGAATCTCTGGCATCGTCCCATGTATAAGCAAAGACTGGGTACTGTCTTCTGAAGCACGGTATCTTGTTTAATACTGCAAGCGACAGGTAGTGCAGTGCAACAGTAAGTCAGTAATATCCCTCAAAAACCATCACAAGGTTTAACGTCCAGTCTTGTGAGAAGTTGGTCGCCAACGAATTTTTTTGTTTCCATCACTGGAGATCAGGGACAGTTGACTAGGTTAATTTGAATAAATGAACATTTTGGGATGTCCGTGATCACACCAGCTGAGTGATGTGCTATGGAGACCTCAAACAGGGATGAGTTGGAAACGGTTTCATCTTTCGTGAAATGTCCGTTCCTACCCCATGTTGGTTACGCCATCAACGTGAAAAAGCCAGTCAGAGCTTGGTGGGTCGACGACACGAGCAAGATTATGTCCATGAATTTCTCTCTCTCTTGATGAGCTGGATTACTGGCGTTTTTCACTGTTCCAACGGGTTCTCTTCATTTACAGATAACCTTATTGCTACAAGTTGTTTTTCAATATATTTTACTGTTGATGGATGTAATGTTGATTGGTATGAAGTATTCATTACGTTGGCATGGAACTTCGCTGGAAAAAGACTCTCCATATGTTAAATGGGAGTTGAAACTGCGGCGCATTTGTTTGGTTGTGTAAAAATACCCAACTGAAGAATCCTGAACACCGGAACACACAAAATAAAGTAAGGTGAATTTTCGGTTTTTGCGGAATTCTGTTCCCCCTTCGCATAAAGACCACCCTCAGACAAAGATCACTTTAAACGGTCTCCAAGATTCACCTTCACGCAGAACGAGGGGTCGGAAATCCTGTTCCAAAAGGGGCAATCACTAAGTCGACTTCATACGAGTCAGAACTGGCCACATGAGTTGGCAGTGGCTGATCATCAGCGTCATGGCACCAACAGAACGCAATGCGCACCTCTGCTCTGCTTTCCATTGTCCTATCTCGAATCGAAGTGTTGAGCAAGCTACTGCCAGTTTGTAAGTAGCCAAAGTGATACTGAAGTCCATTGTGTAACTCCTGATCAGTGCATTGCTGGACTTGTGAACTTGCAACTTATGAACAAGTTGAAAATTTTGGGATGCCCGTGATCACACCAACTGAGTGATATGCTAAGGAGACCTCAAACGGGGATGAGTTGAGAACGGTTTCATCTTTCGTGAAGTGTCCGTTACTACCCCATGTTGGTGACGCCATCAACGTGAAAAAGCCAGTCAGAGCTTGGTGGGTCGACGACACGAGCAAGATTATGTCCATGAATTTCTCTCTCTTGATGAGCTGGATTACTGGCGTTTTTCACTGTTCCAACGGGTTCTCTTCATTTACAGATAACCTTATTGCTACAAGTTGTTTTTCAATATATTTTACTGTTGATGGATGTAATGTTGATTGGTATGAAGTATTCATTACGTTGGCATGGAACTTCGCTGGAAAAAGACTCTCCATATGTTAAATGGGAGTTGAAACTGCGGCGCATTTGTTTGGTTGTGTAAAAATACCCAACTGAAGAATCCTGAACACCGGAACACACAAAATAAAGTAAGGTGAATTTTCGGTTTTTGCGGAATTCTGTTCCCCCTTCGCATAAAGACCACCCTCAGACAAAGATCACTTTAAACGGTCTCCAAGATTCACCTTCACGCAGAACGAGGGGTCGGAAATCCTGTTCCAAAAGGGGCAATCACTAAGTCGACTTCATACGAGTCAGAACTGGCCACATGAGTTGGCAGTGGCTGATCATCAGCGTCATGGCACCAACAGAACGCAATGCGCACCTCTGCTCTGCTTTCCATTGTCCTATCTCGAAGCGCTTTGTTGAGCAAGCTACTGCCAGTTTGTAAGTAGCCAAAGTGATACTGAAGTTCATTGTGTAACTCCTGATCAGTGCATTGCTGGACTTGTGAACTTGCAACTTATGAACAAGTTGATCTATTAATTCGTACACACCGGCTGGTGCCGTAAACGTTCCAATCACTGGGTTTGTTCGGGGTTGCCTCATTCTGAAATTAGTCACTCTAGTTTCAATAAGAAATTCAATGTGAATTTTCGAGGTTTGTATTCATACCTTCATCATCTGAACAGTACTCATTACACCGTGCTCTGATTACTTTAGTTGATTCGTAGTTGAGGGTAGGCACTAAACTATAGCAACACTCCTACCAGTTGGTCTAGCAAGTACAACCTCCAGTTGTGTGGAAGGTAGTGTAAAGCTACTTATTACTACTCCATTGATGTACACCCATTGTCCTACACTAACCTCCCGCGCACTTGCAAGTAACTGAAAAATACCTCCAGCTTTACAGAGGATGAACCGCTATTCTACATTTTGGTGGCCGGTCGGGACAATGGGACAGTTCCTGAGTCATCGCGCCTTGCGTCTTGACCTATTTAGATCAAGAGTGCAACACATTCAAATATACTGTCAGCTGTGTCCAATGTGGGTTGTGGGTGGAACGGCTATTAGGTGCGTCTGGTGGACAGATCATATAAATGAAACTCAGCCCTTATATAACCCAGGCCGACAACTCTACCGTGTAATGGAGACCAGTCTGGTGCTTCCTCTTTGATGTAAACTAGTGGCAACTATTACGTCGGGGTATGAAGAGGAATTCTCGAACTGGAGCCACCTGGACACTATTGCCGGACATTCCGCAGCTAGTGGCAAGCTACGGAGAATCGAGCAATGTCCTTTTGACCCAGTCGTCTTATTATTTTCTATATAGGATGGCATATTCAGTGGATTTAGAAAACTTTTCTCTGGGTGCCTTTCCAAAATTACCGTCCATCAAGAACACATGAACACAACAACACATGATACCTTCTGATAAGTTTAACGGAATTACTGGTGATTTCGCCCCAAGAAATTGAGTTTTGTGCCTCATCCTGGTATCCTATGGTCACAGGTGCTCTTATTTGTAATATTTTTTGCAAGTTGAGAATTTTCAGCCAGAGTCGAAAACAGCTTTTGCTCTGAGTGAGCAGTTGAAAAACTTCCGTAGAGTCATGCATAAAGCTCCCGTCCTCATTACTCAGCATGTAAACAACGGTGCACTCACCCTCCGTAACTTATCGGGGCTAGAAGGAGGGCTTAAGCGAATAATCGAAGAAATAGTCCACCCAGACCTAAGACAACGGAACGCATCCCCACGTGGGCTCTCCTGTGAACGCATCTGTTAGAGCCGGATGGTGCAAGACGCAGTTTCAACCAATGGAGCAATTTATCGGCTATAAACCGTGCTTTACTCTCATTGAAGCAAAGTTTACAATTCGATGATGCATACGGACGAGCTACACATGTCAGGCTTGTGTGCGATAGAATCACCCTTTACCGTCTCCATTGTGAAGGTCATGTGAAACTCGACCCACGCATCCGGTTAGCGCCGTCATACTCTGAGCTAAACTAGTTGTCTGTGGTAGAAAATTATCACACTGCAAGTTGTTGGAGTCCATGCGACACAGACTAAAATTAACTTGCAGGGAAGTATTTGCAAAGAAGTTGTCTGGCTGATCGTCTCCACTGTCAGTATATGCGAATCGGTCAACTTTACCTCATTCGTGATGCGGTCATCCACGCTTTACCTCCAATGAGAAGTACTAACAGTTCAAATCTCACTCTGCATGGTAGGAGTTAAAACCCAAAACTTTCAACGACATTGTCTTCCACTAACAAATCTAAAAACCATAAAGTGCCCCTCAGAGGCTCCAGGTTGATTGTCTTCTAGGGTGCACTGCCAGCTGGGGGTAGCATTTTAACTACTCATTTAAACAAACAAGCATCGTCATTATCAATACCTCATTTCTGTTCACAGCTTAGTAATATCCCCCCCTCCGACGAGTTCGTACTGGAGACCAGATGTTGCGTTTCATCTGTACTTCCTCCAAACAATAGTTGTGAATGCCATGGTTTACGAGGGTTGGGATACTGCCAGGGCGCTCACATCTAGACAGGAGGACAATTAGGGTCCTCAACCAGAACAGTTGGCTCAAAAGCCTAACTGCAAGGCAGCGGTGTTTGGCGGGAAATGCAAATTCATTGCCAGTTCTACGGAACAAGTTTCAGCGTGTTCCAACCGCCAACCTAAAGGGCAAGGAGACTGTGTTCGCCAGACCTCTAACCATAGAACAACCTGGTATGAGAGACACTGTAAGTGTTGCGTGGACTCCCCCAGTATAGCTCAGTGAGTTGCCAATATACACAACCCGCCGCACCATGGTAAGGTTGATTCTCCTCTTGTCTCCTCCAGACAATACTGATCTCATATATGATATCTTTTATTGATAACTTAAGAATGGCCCAACTTAAGTCAGAGACAGCAATTTTACTCCATATTTGGTTGTGGATCTCCCACGCTTATGACCCTTTCGTCACTAGATAGTATGCAACGTTTGTTCAGTTCAAACCCGTTTGGATCGGTCACAACTCCGTCGATTGCGCCACCATATGTTCATTATTATTTTACTAAACAAAGCAATATTTCATAAGTGTATGCAATCAGCATACTCAACTGTCCGTGCAGTGACAGCTGAAAACCCTTCCCCCTCGAACACATGCATTAGGGCTCCGTCGATCCACCATATGTTCATTATTATTTTACTAAACAAAGCAATATTTCATAAGTGTATGCAATCAGCATACTCAACTGTCCGTGCAGTGACAGCTGAAAACCCTTCCCCCTCGAACACATGCATTAGGGGCAGCGGGCTACAAACAGAAGTAAACAGGGGAAAAGTTAATGGATGAACATAACTCATACATGCAACCAAACGGGGGTCCGAGCGCCGAAGACCTTTCTTTGAACGAACTGAACAAAACCCACGACCGGCTTCATCCTTCTTGAGGCCTTTCAGCTAGACACAGTCACTGGGATACCTCAAACCTTATGTTCAACTTGAACCCAAACTGTTAGAGATTCCCCAAGTAATCGGACTTGCATAACAGCTTCGTTTTAACGTGAGAGTCAACAGAATTCAATTGGATCACTCCTTACAATGTCCTGAAGTTTACATTCAGGTGCTGGGTGCAGACGAATGGTGTCCTGGCAGCTAAACATGCTCCTCTAATATATCAGCTGCGGGCGCTAGGTAGTAGAACCACTCTCCATCATTCTCCACGTGTCCAACACGACCCTATGATAGGCGCACACCGTAACTGTACATGCGATAGAACCTAAATCTGTAACGTGTGGGAGAATCGTTGCAGTAAGCCTATCTATTTGTTTCCATCTATGTGTGAGTTAGCTACCCCCATTCTCCAAAACGTGATGTTCTCATTTTTTCTATGATGGATCCATGGATGGTGTGGGCAGTTCCAGATCACGCCTAACAACTTTCCATGAACATGACAACAGGAGCAGTTCGTTAAGTGTCATTTTAAAAGGAGGGGCATGCAAAATGGTTGAAGTAAACGAATGGATTACATGCCGTGAGTGTACGGTAAGTACAAACAAACAAGTGAAAATATTCCTAAGAAAGTTTTGGGCGCTGGATAAGTTGAGTAGGGTAGCATTTAATGTGCTTCTAATCCATGTTCAGCTTTCTGATGAGTATCTCAGTCCTGATTGTATTGTCCCGGTAATTCTGGAGTGAATAGACTTCATTCTATCGAATCCTAGTCTATTGTAACCTTTTCTACCGGTTATTAAGCAACAGCCGGAAATATGCATTGACGGATAAGGGCTAGTTTATTGGTTAACTCATGCCGAGTGGGGCCAAGGGGCACTGACCACTTTATGCTATCACCGGCAAGCTTCACAGTTTGGTTTTGGTGCTTCGCATTTAACGAATATGAGTAATGGCGTTATCACACATAATTATGGCAATGATGACAGTACAAATACGGTCGCCAGTAATGTGGCAAACTGATTCCTGAAACTGCGTTTTTGGTAACGCCTGGAAAAAAATTCGATTGGAGACCAGACCTTAACAACAGGTGCTTCAAGTACAGAACTTTGGATGTGAGGTGTCACAGATCTCACATATCATGACCCATAAAACTGCATTACGATTCGGTCAACAGTTCCAAAGTTGGCTCGGACTGGCGAGGAGTTTCCACATTTTTAAAAATTCTTGCATTTGGAACAACGTGAATTCGCCGGCTGCTTACCCGCTCGCGATCCATAGCTGCTTGAAATTCCGCCTCTCTTATTGCTGCTTCTTGTTTCTGTCGCTCTAACCGATTGGCTTGAATGATTGCTTTCTCTGCCTTCACATGTTCCAACTGAGCACGTAGACGCTGCTCAAGCTGTGACTGCTGTAACAAGCGTTCGGCCAGTTGTCTGGATCTTTGCTCTTCCTGTGTAAATAAAGAGATAGGCTTTTCATGTCCCCAGTATAAAGTAAGACGCAACTATAGGCCAACTATACCCAAATGCAATCAGACGCACTTCATCCTGTAAATGAAGTGCAGAGCTCAAAGCGCCGTAATCGATCACGGTGACTGCAATAGTTATCTAATGGTCAGATATGTTAATATAAGTTGTACATGTAAGACTATTTGTGCGCAAAAGTTTTAGGGCAGTCATGGCCAAGAACAGCAGTATTCCGACTAGATAAACAGGAGACCATAATCCGTTCGAATAACCTCTATCTCCCCAGAATTATTTATAGAAAGTAACCGCTGATAAACCAACCAATCACATCACAGGAAGTGACCGTTTAATTTGAAATGTAAGCGAACCGTCCATTGATATTGTATTCAGCACTTTTTAGGAAAAAATTGAGCAAACAGTTTTGCCTCGAGTCATCAGTGTGTGTGTGTGTGTGACGTTTGGGAATTGGCAAACACAGGTCACGAAATTTGCCCACGGTCCCATCTAACAGCTGGTCTCCCCAGGGGCACAAAACTCGACGGTAACCTTAAGATACTAACAAATATTGACTTTAGTCATCGATCTGTCCGGTGAAGAACGAATGTATATAATGTTCTCATAGATCCCACGTGTCTAGGCACCTAAAATGTCCATAGCCAATCATATCCGTAAACTTGTAAACATCTGATTGTATGGAAGGCTGTCTATTATTCTGGTTAGCTATTTTTTCAGCAGCATATTTGTCATGCAGTGCGATAGCGACTATGACCAGAGACGCTGAGGTTTCACCAGTTTTGGTTAAAGGAATTCACAGGGCCGGGCTTCGTTAATACGTGCACGATCACTTTAGTTAAGTTCATTCAACTTGCAAGATTTTGGCTCAGAAGTCATGTACATATTCTTCGAGGTACGGCAATGATAGCTTGTGAGCTGTGTATGTTCTAGTGAACCCAGTCACAAACGAACGTGACACAGGGAGCCCATAAGCTGCTCAAAGTAGTCAAGTTGCGCTGTCCCACGCACTGACCTCACTAGGAGATCCTCTGAACAGTCCATCAATTCACGGTTTCACGACCTAACCTAGGACAACTGGTAATAATATACAAAAAAATATGGTTGATTATCACCTGGTGGTGAGATTTTTGTGAACATTGAGCCTTAAACTAGGCACCAGCCAGTGAGGAATGAATTGATTTCTCTAGGCTAGACCGCAACTGCTGTTCGTCTGTACACATTCTACTGTTTCTATGAGCAGTTACTATGAGTAGTATATCAGATAAATTGACAAAACAACGTCTTGTCTGAGAATCTCAGTATACCAGGCATTCAAGGTGAGTTGGCTGGTCAGAGTAAAATTAAGAACTAAGTAACCGGGGTTAACTTACGAGCAAGGAAAGCCTGGAGGCGCAGAGAATTGAAGAGGAAACGAACAGTAGATTCAAATGGCAAGTCCAGAGGGAACCTCTATCGGAATTGTGGCTCACAGTAGTAAAATACGAACTTTTGAATGCATTACAGTTTGAGTGAAGCTCGCAGATTTGCTTAGAGAACAGTTAGCTATTCTAAAATTACAGCAGATTGGGTGAGAGCAAGGGATGTCAGAAGTTTAAGGTAAAAACACTTTAAAACACATTCGCCCTAAGAAGGCAAACTAAGTGTCTTACTTCCTGCGCACGCTGTTCATCCAGGCTAGCAATTATGACACGCCTCTGCCTTCGCTGACGCTCCCGTAAGGCCAACTGTTCCGTTCGAACACGCTCCTTGATGCGTCTAACGTAGGCTTCGCTCTCTTCCGGTTTCCAGCTTTCAGCCACGAAATCAACGGGCCGATCATCTACCTCTGGCACATGCGTGACTCGATCAATCAGGTAGGTCGCTGAATCAGGTACTTGACTCTGTTCCTGAGCATGGGAACGTGCTTCCATGCGTAAGTCAAACTCTTCCAGATCCTTCAAAGCCTGCTGTTATACGTGTAGGGTGTGATAGAACGAAATGAAATAATTACTGAAAAACGTATAGATAAACTTCGGACCAACCTTCTTCATCAAACAATCCAGGCAACTTGAACGCACTGCAAAAGTGAAAGGATATTCTTTTTCTCCAGACAGCACGATTCATTTTTGTTTGGAAATTTAAATAGACTGGGTCTCTTTCATCCATTCTGCCAAGACCATGTATGACTACTAATTTTAGTCTGTGTTTCCGCATCCCATTTTTGAATTTTACCTTACTGTCTAGGATAATGGAACGAATTATAGCAGAAGCCCTGAAATCGCACCTTGAAATTCACTCCTTGTTGAGCGATAAACAACACGGATTTCGACAGAATCGTTCTTGTTTATCCAATCTCCTCGTGACACTCGATG